CTCCAAGCCGCGAACCGCGCCTCCCTCAAGCTCGCGTCCGACCACCCGCTCCACCTCTCGTCGCCCTACTCCGCGCCTGATGGGGACGACGACGGCGCGCTCAGCTTCATCGCCGGCCGCATCGTCGGCGCGATCGGGGCGTCTCTCGGATCGGCTGGATCTGACGACCTCGACATCACAGCTGGGGAGCAGAGTTGCCGCGGTTCTGGATCGGGAGCATCGGGAGGAGCAGACGAAGTGGGGGACGCGGGGCATGGAGCGAACGAACTCGAGCAGGGAACGTACCGGGGACCGTAGTAGGCATGCAAGACACGCAGCACCATGAAATCAAATAGTCTCCATGTTGTCGAGCAGAGGAAGGGGCAACAGGTCGCGGGCGCAGGCGCGGGTTATCATCGTCGCATCTACAGTATACACGACGGCCGCCCAAAATCCCTGTTGTACATTATGCCTTGATCGAAGCGAATATTATACACTGCACCAAGGACGGGCGTCGATATGTCAGTGGAACGTAGGACGAGGGATTCAATGGGAAGGACGAACTTGTCGTCTTCGAAGAGAGCGATTGCATCAAGCGCGGGCATGTCAGTGCCGGGACATATCAACTTCGCGGGCTCGACGTACCATGGAAGTCCCATCGGGTCTAGAGCGTCCATGTCAGCGCCGCGGCGGTCGAAGACAAAGACAACAAACACACCTTCTTCGGGTTCTCCGGCGCGTGGCGCACGTAGCGGTCGTTATCTGGGGGGCTAGAGTAGGGTCGTTTGAGTCAGGCATCTTAGCAGAGAAACTTCACGGTCGGGCTTACAGCTCTTTCCTCTGGGAAGGCAGAGGGGTGAGCCTAGATCAAGATCATGGCAATGAGAGGCGTACCTTGCATGACGCCAGCATGCTTTGAAGAGTGACACAGACGGAGACCACGCTTAGAACAGGCGACCACTCGCTCCCGAGGATGGAGGCGCAAATCTGGGAGGACGGCGAGACTTGAACTTGCAGAGCAAGCGCGCGATGGTAAAGAAGGTACATACGTGGCCGTTCGAGTACACATGCTTCATGAGGACCGAAGAGCGTCGTCGTCAGGAGAGGCCGTCGCGCAGGGAGTGGGCGAACAGTACATACCGGATGGATCGGAGCTACCCAGTTGTCCTCCACGACGAACTGGACCGCGGGGGCGGAGATTGGGTATTGGTTGTCAAAGCGGAACTTGAGGGCGAACTTCTCTCCCTGCAGGGAGAGTGGCCCAGGGGCGACAGGGTTGGTGCATGAAACGCAGAGAACAGAAGGGATAGGGCATACCTGATAGACGGTCTCGCCTAGAACTTCCACAGACAAGAGCCAGGTGGCAAAGTCATCCGCCGAGAGCAGCTCAATACCTACGCTCGGGCGTCATGGAGAGCACATAGACACGCAGATGAGAAGAAAGAGGGCAAAAAGAGACGTACCGACCGGGGCACCCTCCCTCTTGAGATCGGCGAGCTCCTTTTGCAGTCTTCGCGTCGAGAAGGCCATGGTAGCCGCAAGTGAGCGTGGATACGCGAGCCGGGCGCAAGAGGTGCGTGCAGTACGCGCTGCAGACAGGAGGGGTGGGGATCAGGAGCAGGATGGGGGGAGGATGGGCAGATCCAGTCGCCACTTCGGCCGGGGCAACGCTCGTCTTGTCTCTTAGGCGCGCGATGGGCGACCGGTCCGTGCCCGGCAAACGCCGCGGCCACGACGACCAAGGCACAGTTGCGTTTTTCCTCCTTCTGCCACTTATTCTTCTTCTTCCACCACCACCCCATCGTCTATGCGCGTATGAATCGAGTGCTCAAAACGTACACTAAGCAAACTTACAACAGCGTTCATATCGTAGTCCCGACAACCCCTATGGACGAATCGGCCAAGGCTACGGCGCACAGCGGCCAGCCATTGTCGCCCAGTCCGTCCCTTCTACTGCTGCTACTTCCTTCATCACGATCCCATGGTCTCTGCTCAATGAAGTAGGAACCGACACCCAATAAGCGCGCCCGTTTAAACTTAGCAAATGAACACCGAATGCCCACAAACCGTATGATGCCCCAGAGAACGGCGAACAGCCAGTCGTAGCCCGGATTCCCGAGCGTAGTCCGGATCCCCGAGGTCAGCGAACCTGTTGCCAGCAACATGGCCAAGGACCTAGCCATACTCCCCAACATCACGCGCTGAAACCGCAGTGCTGCGCTTCTCTGTCACTGGCGGTTCTCGTAAGCCTCACCGCCTACTCTGCGCTTGCACAATGTTACCAGAAGCGGCAGTTATATCCGGGGGTACCTGTGAGTCCTACGCGGAGCTGCATGGTTAGGTCCTGTTCTAGACGTTGACCTTCTACCGTAGTGCCTTATCTTGTCATGAAGTTCTCCGCCATCATCATCACTCTTTCTGTCGCCCTCGCCGCCTCTGCGCGTCCCGCCGACACCAACCCGGAACGCTCTACGTGCGCCGCTGTGACCGCTGGCCGTTCGACAGTTACTGTCTTTGCGACTGCTTTGAAGGGCTCCTCCAGCATGCACGTTCTCCCAGTGAGTACGCTCTAATGGTCCTTACCACGTTTCCAAAGTTTAAATATATGGTGGTAAGACCAGTCAGAAGGTCGCCTCGAAGAGCGTGAGTTCCGGCCAGAAGTCTACCGCGCACGCCACTTGTCAGTCAGTCTCCATCGGGGTGATCGCTGGTCGTTCGACCGTGACTGTCGGTCCGCCTGCTCCTGCCAGCAAGCTTCACCCGGTGAATACTCTCTTTTGGTTCCCAATCACGCTTCTACTAACTCGATGACATCGAGTCATCAGGCAATCAGAAGGGCCGTACCACAACGATAATGTCTGCTCTACGGCCATTAAAGTGTCGACCGTCACTGTGTCTATGGTGGCAATAACTGCCAAGGGGGGCAACAATGCGGGCGGCGCGAAGACCACTACCAAGGCTGCGTCCAGTACCATAAGCTTCTGTGAGCGTTGCTACTCCTCTCTACGACTTTGCATTGAGCGTTCTGACCGGGTGGTGATCAAGCGTCTGCCAGTGGCGCACCTCAAAATGACCCCCAGTCTGCGTTCACCCTGTTAAATTCTGTGATCGCCACGGGCTTTGCTCGAAAGGGCCAGGAAATATAAGCCGAATATCTCGTCTCTCCTTGCGCCCGCTGACGCCTCCCCTGTAGCCCGAGCCCGGGGCAAGTTGCATCGCTCACATCCTCGAACAACTTCATCAACTTCTGCGCGACCGTTCCCAAGCGATCACCAACGTCCAGCAGATCGTGACCAGGTCGTGCAACCCGGCGCCGGCGGGCGTCATCCAACATGCCGTCGTCCAAGTTCGTGTTCCCTGCGAACTTCATGACGCTCCCCGCGAACACGAACTTCACCGTCGAGATGGCGGTCTCGCACCTCAACGCCAGCAACTTCGTCAACCCGAACACGAACTACTTCGCCGCCCCGCAGACCTTCGACGCCAAGGGCGACACCACCGGCCACTCGCACATCGTCATTGAGCCGATCCCCTCGCTCGACTCAACAAACCCGACGAACTCGTACATCTACTTCAAGGGCCTCAACGCCGCCGCGGTTGACGGCGTGCTCGCGGCGGAGGTCGCGGGCGGGCTACCCAAGGGGAAGTACCGGCTCGCGTCGATCAACACGGCGGCGAACCACCAGCCGGCGCTGATCGCGGTCGCGCAGCACGGTCGCTGGACGATATGGTCTAGTGAGTGGAGGACTGGTCTTACTTCACTGTTGTATCTGGTCTTCGCCATCTGCAGCTTCACTGTCATTTGAAAGAGGGCTTATGAAGGGCAGAAGGCTCTGCACGTACACGCTCTAGAATGGGGTTGTTGGTGTTCGTTTCTTAGAACGGCCGAGGGCTCTCTGACGAGCCTGTGGATTGACTTCAATGTGCCGAGCTGTGAGCCCGCCTCAGTCGCCTTCCCCTCTGCCATAGTCTCGGGGAAACACATCGCACTAAGTGGGTGTCGGGATGTGATTGCCAGGTTCTAATAGCGGCATGCGCTTGATTAATAGGGATTTCCTTTTCGGGAATCGAATCGGACGCTCGGGGAACCGCGCGCCGGCCCGCCCGAAATTCAAACCTTGACCTCAACCACGAGTAATGAATTTGGTGAGCTCTTCAGTCCGCACACTGCTCAGACGAGTTGTGATTGACACGTTCGCCAGTATACCAATCTGTGCAGAAGCCGCACGGGACGCCCAGACGTTACCTTGATCGTCAATTCATTGCGTACTATGCTGGCGGCTAAAGCTACCGCAGCACAAAGTTCCTCGACACGCTCCGGGGCGACTTTACGGAAGTCCCGGACAGCGCGTACAATCAACTCATCCGACTTAACAAGTTGCTGCGCCCCAAAGGTTGGTTGTATGTGCGTTGTTGGCTTTATTGGTTCGTACTAGAGTCTAGACCCAACTCATAGCAAAGTGACAGCGTTCAACATGTTAAAACCCGCTGATGTCATGTGTGTGCGACGTGAGAACCTCGAAGTCCGTGTAATGGCAAACCTTGTACTCAAAACGTGCCCGGCGGCAACCCAGCGGAGCGGAGCGCGGACATCAAGCGCGGACATGTGTTGGGGGTGCGTCTCCTGTATCAGACACCCTGTCTCTTGCTCTCATCCCAGTCCACAGTCCTCCACAAAACTCGAGATCATGCCGCCCGGACGGCCCTCTTCGGGAAAATCTTCAGCGGCCCAGGTCAAAGGACGCAACGCGGGGGAGCAGCTCGCGACGAGACTGAAACCCGCTTTGTTCAGCACGCACGGGGACGTCGACAGGGCGCTCTCAGACGCTTCAAAAATCTTCCAGGATCAAACCTCGGATCTCTTGGCGACTCTGCAGTCTCTGGAGGACAATGGTGCCCAAGGGGTCCTTGAATTTCTCTTATCAGGTGAGTACGTCCATCGTTCGATCTGTAAACAACCCCATCATGTATGCGCACCGCAGCCTGCTCCACAAACGACTTCGATCAACTGTCTGACGTACTCCTTCGTCCACCTTCCTTCGACGTGACGTTCACGGGCTCTATCCCGTTCAAGATGATGGAGCGTCTCGCGGTAACGCCTCCTAACGATACCCCCGCCGATCCCTTCGAAACCTACCGGACGACCGCGCGGGTGACCATGCTGGTGATCAACACGATCGCGCTCTTGCTCGCCAGCGGCACTCTTCCCGACGAAGATGCGGCCACACCTCAAACGCGTCGGGCAGAGAAGGCCCAACAGAAGCAGAACCAGAAACGAAGGCGATCCATCCACACCGGCCGTGGGGCAGGCGTCGACATACAGCACATCCTCGCGTACGGGGCCGAGGTCCCCACATCGAAGTTCCAAGCGAACGTGCTTCTGGCCAGCGTTATATCTGAGCAGATGGAGACTTTGGAGGTACGCTCTGCCGTCGCCTCTTGACGTGGTCGAAACCACGCGAGAATACTGATGTGTATACTCCCCGTAGCACTTCCTGCACGCTCTGCGATCGGACACAGCGAGGTCGTTCATCTGGCAGTCGTACATACCACACATTCCCGTGTCGCGATCGAACGCGCCATATCTGCCCGATGACCTCCAAAGCGATGCGGTGGATACGACCGGATCTAACGACGAATGGAAGATCAGAATGTCCAAGAACGCGGACGACGATCTACGTCAGGCTGAGCGTGCAGGTGGAGACCGACTCAAGATCATAACTCAGAAGATAGAGTACGTCTTCGTGTGTTTTCCATCGTGTTTATTCTCATCCTACCTTACAACAGCGAGCTCCGCGAAGGGCACTTCACCCCAGACAATCACAAGATGATCACAAAAAATGCCGAAAACATTCCAATATACGAAGCCAAGATGGACCGCAACTCTCGGTTGGTGGTGAGTCATCTCCAGGTCGCAACGTCTTTGATCCAAGACGTGATTTCTCTTATAGTATTTTATCGGTGTTGAGTGTTCGGTAAAGACAGGAGTAGGTTGCTACTCGTTACTGACTCAACGTTGACTGAACGCCCTTACTTCACGTGTAGGCAGAGGAACAAGGTACAACCATCTTTCGGTGAGACCGACTGCGACGATCTTCTGAGCTTCACCTCGTCATTACAGTGATAAATGTCTACGGCGTATACAACCATGTGCAGATCAACAGAATGCCATGGAATCAACTGAGTAGACAGCTGTTTCTCAACAATGGTGGTTCGCAGTACAGAGACCGGTGTGTATTCCGAGCTAACATGATTCTGTTGGACTCATGCGCTTTCAGGTGTGTTGCCCGCGATCGACGCACAAACAAACGAGGCGATCACCTTGTGTATCCAACGGTGTTTCCAAGCTCCAGAAGTTCCACCAACCAACTCGTCGAAACAGCTCCAATTTCGGAAGATTTGACCAAAGAACAGGCGGAGGAGGTGAGCGAAATTCGCTCGGATTTCTATACGGCTGCTAATGAGAACTTCTTACAGCTACAAGATCTCCTCACGTACGTATTCCACCATTAGGCGATTCGACTGCTATTCACGCTCTCCTACACACCAGACATGCAAAGTTCGTCGCATATTCGAGGGTGTGTCTTGTCGATTGAGTCCGTGAGGAGGTCGCTGACATATCTGTACCCCATTACAGGAATATCTTGCATGTGAGCGCGGTAATGTGGGCTTCCAGACACGCACTTATGGGTTTACTTGCAGCGATATACGCCCAGCTTTCATCCAAGGACGCCGCATTCGTTTTCAACCTCGAGTACGTACATTTCGTACGTCGCTACGAATCATTCAACCCATTATGCGCGTTCAGGGAGGACCAGCAAGAGATCCTCAACCACAACGGTTCGTGTTATGTACTAGGTACGCAAACTGCATATAGTCCTCAGTATCGAAGCTGATTCGTTTTCATAAGGACGCAGCGGGACTGGGTCAGTGGACGATTGGTAGCAAAGTTCGAGTCCGCGAGAGCTAATACCAATTGGCGCGTAGGAAGACAACCGTCATCGTCTTCAAGATGCTGTCCATGGATCTTGCGTCGCATGAGACGGAGTTCGGGCAAGGGATCAGCAAACCACGGCAACTGTTCATTTCTCAAAGCGAGATACTAGTGAAGCACGTCAAGGAGTACTACAACAAGTTACTGCGTTCTATAGAAGTGGGAAGGATGTCGGAGGAGGAGGTGCAGAAGCTGGCGTCGCAACGCGAGCGAGAGAGGTCGGAAGGACTGTTCAACCTCGACGACGAAGTCGAATGGGTCCAAAACGCCCCACAGCGTTTCAACGCTTTGCAGGACAATCACTTCCCGCTCTTCCTGAGCTATGCCAGTGTAAGTGTTTCGTCCATATTTTTAGCGCATATTTGACGCGTTTGGACCGTAGTTGTGTCGTTTGCTGGAGAACGAGTTCCGGAATCTCGTCACAATGGAAAAGGTTGTACCGTCTAAAATCGCATCTCTCCGAGACGCTCTGGGAATCCGTCCTGGTGACACGTCCACGCGCGCGGCTGGAAGTGCCCTTCCTCAATTTTTGGACTTCGATATGTTCCTGCACATCTTCTGGAACCACTTCCCTGAACA